TATATATATAACTTTATACTGTAAAATATGACTTTTTAATATATCACTTTATACTCCATAATATGACTTCATAATATATAATAGGACTTCATCATATAAAAGTATGACTCTATACTGTATAAGATGCCTTATAACATATACCAGAACTGCAGAATATTCCCCCCTATAATACTCATATGTCACCCCGAAGCGTGAGGACCGCAGTCATCACATACAGAAGGATAAGAGGAAGTGGTATCTTGGGAGACTCTTCTGTTTCTCACACTTGTCCTTTCCAGGAATATTCTGCAGCCTTGTAGAGAAGGTTGTGATTGAGGGGTGACTGGTCCTGTGTGTGGACTTAATCACCCAAGTCAACAAGAAGATCAGTTACGAGCAGACTGACCAATTCAATCGGAGGTGGGCAAACTCCGGCCCTCCAGCTGTGGTGAAACTACATATCCCATAACGCATCTGCCTCTGGAAGTCATGCCTGTGGCTGTCAGGGTCTTGCAATGCCTCGTGTGACTTGTAGTGGCACAGCAGCCGGAGGGCCAGTTGCCCACCCCTGTATTAAATTGATGAGCTGTACACAGGGGCGTCCCAAGTACACAGGGGCGTGACACCCCGCCACAACGTCATCGCGCATGAGCGGCCATCTTTGTGATACCTGCAGGACGGCCGTCGGCAGAGAGAGGGGACGTTCACCCGGTGGGATGAGGTATGCCGCCGGGTCCCCTCCTCTCTCCTGACACTGTCTGGCTCTCGATCCATGACTGGAGTGCCCCACTTTACAGAGGGGGGTGACACCATAATGACTGTCAGTCATTTTGGCGTCACCCGGGTGCGGGCAGCACCTCCCTTGTGAGGCCACATACATTAAATATTTGTGTGGCACGACTCGGTCAGGTGACCACAAAGGCCGACATAGAAAAGGGCACCTGTCGCGATGGAGACACGGGGGCAGCTGTTGCCGAAAAGTGCAGGATTCGGGTCTGTCATGCTCATCCTTGCTTCAATACACAGTCCTAATCCTGCATCCTCATTCCAGACCAGAGACTTTGTGGAGCAAGGATCAGGATGACAGCTTTTCCAATTTGAAATACCGTTCCTGGTGGGTCCCCATTCACCAGCTAAAAAGGGGCAATGACGAAAATCTATGCTGATGCATAGATTTTTTGAGATGCTGATTGGTTGCCATGGGCAACTGCTCCAGATCCTGTGTGTTTTGATAAATTCCCCCCACTCCATTGGTCTGCTGGATCTTAGATTTGGCCACCTGGGCATTTATATTAATATTTAAAACCCGAAAACCTTTCCATTGTCCCAACAATCTGAGGTATTTCCTTCTGCAGCCCCCACACGCTTCCAGTACTGCGGAGGATAATGAGCAGGAGAGAAGGTCTGCTTGCCAACTTACCAGCAGCAACAAAAGTCCTTCCTTCTACACTTCAATGTCCGGAAAGCCTTGCAGTCAATCTGCAGCTTTCATCAACACGATCCCTTGTAATCCCCCAATGAAGGACTTTGCTCAGGCACTTCCTGTTATAGGCTGAC